AATAATAATAAACTTTATTGGGTGATAAACAGATAAAGCGAAGCTTTTTTCCAATCTGGCCCATAGGGTAGTAAATATATAAAAGTAAAAGAAATGTTAAAAAAGTCTTTGAGTCTTAAGTTCCTTAGAAGCAAAGAGTTTGTTTTTTGCAAGTTCCCAGATATGTGCTTTGAAGGACTTAAGAGTTGAACACTTTGTGGTGCGGCTAGGGAGTTTATTCCATAAAGAACCAAGTATGTCCAATATAGACGATCTGTTACGGATCGTCACAGATGGCACTCCATCTGTAACAGTTCGACAAAATAATTAATATGCAATTTAAATGCATATCATTATTTTAATATTGTACTTCACTTGATATTCAAATTTATTCAAAACTCTAAACTGCGCGACCGGGAACCCTGTGGTATGGTTACTGACTGCGAGTGATAGCCGGCGGTGACAGTTCGAGACAGTTGGAGAAACATCTCTCATTATTTCGTTTAATTTTCAATTCTGTTTCTAAAAAAGTGGTAAAAGATACTCAATATATACTCAAGATTCTTTATGACCCATCGTTGTTACAATTATGAATATAATATATCCGATAATCGCCATTAACCATGTGTTTTCTCCTGTCAGTTCGAGTCAATTGGTGAAAGTTTGACAAATGTTGCCCCTACCTCAATCTGTTACCATCCGTGACAGTTGGATGAAATGTTTCTAACTGTACACATTTGGGAGTCATGGGAGTCAAAATTTTTTTACACACAAAAATATTCTAAGTGCCATGAGAATACGAATCAATCCAAGAGTTTTTGCCCCTATATCCATCTGTTACCATCCGTGACAGTTGGATGAAATGAGTTCAGCTGTAATCATTTGGGAGTCATGGGAGTAAAAATGTTTTTCAACATAAAAATTTTATAAGTGCCATTGGAAAATGTATCTAAGAGTTTTTACATTGTACATATTATTCTGCATATCAATTAGTATTACCATAATGTTATGCATATTCTATGCATACTAATTATTTGGCAGATTGATACAGATGGAGCTCCAACTGTCTCGATCTGTTACAGATCGAGAGTATTGGACAACCCTCTAAAGAACTTCCAA